ATGAGTTATTCCCACTGTTTAATCCCTTGGATCTGGATGCTTTTCTGCCCTCATGTAGCTTTTGGCTAACTTGAGTGGCTACCCTCATGGATGAGTGACTTGCAGGCCAAGTGCACACGGCTCTCATGTACAGCATCAAGACTCCTTGCCTGCCCTTTGTAATGTTATTATTTCATTTTCCTCATAAGCAGTTTTTTAGATTTTCCAATGTCCTTATTTGTTATTTGATATGCTTTTTTCAGATGGTGATAAACTGTTTTCCTTGCACAGACTCCATATCATTTCTCTAGGTAGTCCATAAGTCAGTGCACTACTACTAATAATTAACATTTTGTTTTTTGCATATTTTATTTCTATTTTTTGTGTGTGATATTAAATCTCCTGTAATACAACTTGTACTACCAATCTTGGTGGGCAGGAATAGGCTCCTATGCACTAAAGTAGTGTCCTCCCTGGTGCTGGCACTCTTCCAGTCATGGTTCACAATGGTAAATTCTCCACTTGTTTACCGATAGGAATTCCTAAATGCCCATGGAGTCTAATTACCATCCAAGAGCTTTGTGCACTTGAAGCAAGTCATTCCTGTCACTCTGGACTTGGGCTGAAATTCTCTTAAGGGCATGTTCCTGTCACCCTAGCCTACAGCCAGATTTTTCTATGATGGCATGTTGACATCACCTGCCTCTCAAGAAAAATCTTTTTATGATGTGCCTCTCCAGATCCAAGGACTTAATAAGCAATTACATTAAGGTGTGATGCATTAGCGTTATATATTATGATTTGTTTTCACGACAGATGTAACAGTCACCAGTGTTTATTACATGTAATATGTATATTGATTGAAAAGAATGGTGTTATTTTCATGTTTTTTTACTTTCACCCTATATGCTGTGATGGCAAAAATGCCATGTCCACTGTGAGGTTTCTTTATTAAATGTGTTTAATAGTTGACTCCACAAGTGCTCAGGCACCAAGGAGTTAATTGCTTATGGTTTTCCTTGATTTTCAGAAAGAGTTTTTTCCTTATTCTTTATTGCTATTAGTGTTGTTGATGTTATTTTGGTTACCATGATATTAATGATGATAATAACAGCATCAATATTGATAGCATTAGAAATCATATTTTTCTCAATCACTCAAGGAAGGGGGAAATCAAGTGAAGTCATATAGGCCTATTAATTGACTTCTTTGAAGCAGAACCCATGTGAAGCCATCTATTTGCAAACAAAATTTACAAAGAAAACTATAATAGACAAAGTATTTACCCAACATTTTCGTTGGTGTTAACTACACCAATGAATATTGAGTCGTTTATGATAAAGATTTTGACACATTTTGCATTATAGTTATTTTAGTATTATACTATTCTTGGATCAGTAGTGTACTAGATGATTTATGTATTTGAAAAGTATATTTGTAATTCTTTTTATAGTTATGAATTTATGATATGATACAGTAGATATACTAAATATATAGAAATGATGATGGTTTGTCAGATGCTGATATCCTCTGAGGTGGTGGAAGAATGAGTAATGTATTTAAAACACAAATGCTAAATCTACTCAGGTTAAGAAATTCTATGACAAACAGGTGTATTACTTTTATTTATATTCATTCCAAATTTGGAGGATATTTACCTTTCGTTGTCACTAACTTGGCTTAACAAATCCCTATCTTATGATATTAAAAAAGAAAAATCATGAGAACAACAGAAAGCTATTTTTGAAGGATTCATTTCAATGGTTTGCTTTTTATATATTACCTTCATTGATAAAATCCCATAAAGAAATTCTTGTGGATTCGTATTTATGACGTCCTTCTTTTATATGGATCAGATGGCGAATGTGGATGGTATTATACATTTGGTATTGGTGAATTTGACATAAGCAAAGATTTCCTTTCATTTCAGTCATCACCTTGGAATTCACCAAGACTTCTCAGCCCTGTTGATGTCAGACATTTGATAACATCAAGATCAACAGAAAACCTCACCCACATACCCCCGGATGGATCACCAAGCAGGTAATTGTTTTAAACTCCAAAAAATGTAAACCATCCTGCTTATTTATCTCTTGAGCTGCAAAATGGGCATCCTTCTTCGTTTCAGTAAGGTAAATCTTGGTCGCAGGCTTCCAGAGAGTTCACTTGCATGTGCCAGAAACTATAGATTTCATCTCAAATACAGAATGTTGTCAGAGTAAGGTTTAAAAAGTTATCACAGTTACTCTTCATGTGTGAATGAAAATTATCATGACTATGTAAATAGGATACATATAAATAAATTTTTTATTATATGATACAATGAGATGTGAATTTCAGTATATATATATAGGTATCTATTAATGTAGATAGTAAAAGGCCATGATATACCAGACATTGATAGTATGGTCTGTGGAGGGTGAATATAGGGAGAAAAAAGATCTAAAGGTTTGACTGGATGAAATATGCCTTACTGTACCATAGAGCTGTGTACCTAAACAGATTTTAGGTACAGGTACAGGGACAGGTACTGGTTATTATATGATACAATGCGATGTGAATTTCAGTATATATATATAGGTATCTATTAATGTAGATAGTAAAAGGCCATGATATACCAGACATTGATAGTATGGTCTGTGGTGGGTGAATATAGGGAGAAAAAAGATCTAAAGGTTTGACTGGATGAAATATGCCTTACTGTACCATAGAGCTGTGTACCTAAACAGATTTTAGGTACAGGTACAGGGACAGGTACTGGTTCACATTCCAAGCTTTGAAATTATGGAGGTAGGGCACTTGCAATATTGTGCTGCATTCCAAGAGGTGAATTGTCACATTGTAGTTGTATTTGAATGCTTTAGTCACAATAAGAGAATATACATATGTAAATGTTCATTAGGTCCATACAGGTCCAGTATAGGTACACCAGCATTCTGGTATTTTTGACCTATACCTAATCAACTATACTCGTACTGTACTGATACAGTATACCAGCACACAATACAATGTACCAGTACACAGCTCTATTGTACCAATATTACCACTTCACCCTCAATACATTTCATTCACAAGAAGATAGAGGTGAGAAAACACCACAGTGTGATATGCTCAGGAAGAGGAGGGCTTGCAATGGGAGTGAAGGGAGTGGTATTGTATGTATAGCTGAAGGAATCTTGGGCTGGTAAGTACCTTACAATGGGATATGCTCAGGAAGAGGAGGGCTTGCAATGGGAGTGAAGGGAGTGGTATTGTATGTATAGCTGAAGGAAAATTACCAAACAGTACCAGATATATTATCAAACACAACACATATCTTATTCATGATGAAAAAGTTTAAGGATGGTGGTGAATATTTTACAAGCTGTTTGTGATTCTTTGTAAGATTAGAATCATAGATATTTTCTATAACAGCTAATACATTTGAACTGGCTGGATGATGAGTCACTAGTGTAATTCTTGGTCACTCTCTAGTATTTGCATTTCAGCTGTCTTTTTTATCATAACTAGAATTATCATGCTACTTCTACATATATTTAAGCAAAGGTGCAGATGTTAATGTGACTACATATCCAATTTTACCTTCCAATAGACCGAAATGGAGACGCAAAAGTTTACGGAAGAAGAAGGCAGAAGAAAGTAGTGATCCCGATGGAAAGCTCAGAAAAAAGAGAGTTGAAGCAGAAGCATTGCAACTTTACAAAAACACAAGAGATGAATTAACACAAAGACTTGAGCATCTTAGTAGTAGAGGAAGGTAAGTGCCAAATATTCACTTTTTATTACTTATTACAGTTGAAAAATGTGTCTTCAGCCTTCGTGTATGTTATAGGTGTTTGATGTTCAAAATTGATTGAGCAGTGATTTTATAACATATTTGTTTATGCTTCTGAAATTCGTAATACCAGCATCATATGTTTTAGATAGATTATTTATAATGTCTATTTTTACTATGTTTTTCAGAGTTCTAACACCATATGAAGCTAAAAGTTTGGTTGCTCTACTGTACTCTGAAGATAAAACACTTATAGAAAGAGCTCTTGTAACAATTGCCAACTGTGCAGCATTCAGTGTTAATCTTGTAAGTTGTATACTGATATTTACCTTGTAAAAGCAATTGATGATTTTTTTTTCTTTACATAATTGAAATTTTCACCCACTTAGAGCTTAGTATTCATTATTGATATGTATAGTAGAAATTATTGTAATTTTTCTGAATTTCTTTTGTGATGTTGAGGTCTGAAATTAATAGTGTGCACATTTATCAACATTTGGCCTTTTCTCGCAGGATTTTTTGCGAGAGGTTGGCTGTATTCATCGTCTAACAACCCTCTTAGAAGATAATGAAGTACGATTACCAGCTGTACAAACTCTGGGAAATGTAGTTTTGTCTGAAGAAAATATACGCCAAGCCAAGGTAAAATAATTTTTGGTAGAGAGGGATAGTTTCATGACACAGTTCTTATGACTAGCCTGTTTGCAAGATCATGTTGTTATATTAAGATATTGAACCCAAACAGTGATACATTTATATGTTTCCATTTTAAAAATTATTTTTCATTCTTTTACTTTCAGGATTGCCTTCCAATTCTAATGGGCTTTGTGCAGAATAGTCATGGTGATGATGCTCTACGCTTAGCTTCTTTAGTAGTTCTTACAAATATTGCCACTATTAGTGAGTGGCATGAGGATTATTGCCCCCTGCTTCATAGGTAAATCATATAGGGATACATATGTATATACAATATATTTGTCTGCATAGAAACAATGAAGAATTTTTTTTTTTATAGTAAATATTAAATGCTATTGATGTGTCTTGTCAAAACAGACTCTACCACCTGGTTGACAGCCCCAACCCTCACATCCAGCTTCAGAGTCTCAGATTACTAGTCAACTTGTCATGCAACAGAGAGATGATTCCTTCACTGCTGGCAGCAGAGGTAGATTTTTCCATCATAGTTTGGTAACTTATGTGGAGATACATGGTAATTTTACCTCATTTATCACAGCAATATGTTTAACAGTTTCTGTCTTGCGTACATATATCATCTTTAAATGGCAAATGTAAAAGAGATGTGTTTTATATTTTTATATGCAAATATCACTGATGTGAAAATATTGAGAAAAGTTCCTTTTTTTCTCTTTTGCCGCCAGCTTTGGTACCTGCCATTATGCCATCTACAAGTCATTGATTTGATTAGTTGGATACTTGATAGAATTATTTTGATTAAATGATGTAGGGTCTGATTATTTTAGTATTTGTGCTGTAGAGTAAGAGTTTATTTGAATTTAAGACAGAGATACCCAATAATCTTTAATAAACTTCATTTTTTGTAAATTGATATTATGTCATATTGTATTTTTAACCCACTAACGACAGGTGTCCCACACATGAGACACCTGAAAAAATAAACATTGCCGGGCGTCCCGCCAGTGTGTGTCGCTGTATTGGGGCTCACTCTCTGACACAGCAGCGGGCTGCGGCCGATTTTGTAGCTACCCGGAATCTTTTATTTTCGGCTTCAAAATATACTGGCGTTAATGGGTTAAAATAATAATGTATTATGCAGTAACATCTGAGTGCTATGATGATTTTACCTGATACTTCGTAATGCATCTAAAATATTTTTTATTTCAAAAAGAAAAGATAGACACAGCTCTGAAGTAGATAGGCAGGTAGGTAGGCTGGCAGGTTTTTAGCAGTGCGTAGGAAGTAATGATCTGAAACAAAATCTGTGCCACAGTGTGTGATTATATACAATATATATACTGCTGGTAATATCTGTAGCTTGAAACTGTAGGCACTGGCTGATGTAATACAATAATTTGTTTGAATGTTATACAGGACAGCAAATGCAGTAGCTAACTCAAATGCTACTGTGCACTGCATTTTCTGCCATCTTGATAATATAAGGAATATTTGATGGGAAAATAAACTGAAATGTTAAATCATAAAATATTCTTTTGTAACTTGAATTTATTGCTAAATTATGTAAAAGTTTCTTACAAGATATCTGATTCTTAGCCTAAGAATAGCATTTTGATTGAAAAAATAGAATATTTAAAACTTTTTCCTACTATCATTATACATAGAGCATGTACTAACTGTTACTTGTTTGCAAGGCATATCTGCCTTTAAAACTTGTCATGTCTTCATATTCATTCTCATTATTTTAAACTGTCATTTATTCATTTCCCAATGTTGTTCCGTATGTTTTAGATTCTTCTACATGAATATAAAATTTGATTACTGTAAAATATGATAATTGACATTAGAAATGATTATATTGACGCTTATAGTCTTGACAGGATTGAGTTTCTTCACATCTTCATATTTCAGGGTCCAAGGAAACTCAGCTCATTAGTTGTTCCGGAAACAAATGAGGCAATATTATTGCGTGTTCTCACCCTGCTAGCAACTTTAGCACATGCAGTAAGTGAAGACAATCTGAATCCCAGTGTGGACCTGCCACCAGAAGACAAAGCAGCTGCTCCTGACACCATGTGAGTAATACAAGCAGTTGTAGTAATATTAGCCACTTGTGTTTGGAGTTTACAAAGTAGAGTTGAGCTTTTGCAGTATACTTCTTTGCTCTGTGCTTTTCAAGTCATGATCCCTGTGTAGGTATTGCTATTGTTTATTATATATATTGTATGTAACATGTTTACTCAAAATTAGGCTGGCCTCTAGTGTTAATTGCAGGTATAGTTAAGTATATCTGCAAATTTCCTATATATTTGGGGAAAATATACACTATTTTTGGAGATCTTCATATTTAATTATAAGCCAAAGCTTCTCATAACAGCATTGCTGTTGTAACATCTTGCAGCCTTCATCATATATCATGAGGTATATTGCTCTGTACCATAACAGGGGGAATATTTAAATTTATATTTACATTGCATTTAGATATTTTCAATGATGATGGCTTCTTGTATCCATTGATCTCACGTTTGGTGTCACAATTTTGTTACACTTTGAAGGAAAGTTTTTAAGTCAACTTTCCTAGATTTGTATTGGGACAAAGATGAATTAAATACAAATATTTCATACTGCTACCAAGAGAAAGTGCCTATTAGGAGGAAAAAGGGTTGCTTACAAAAGAGTAAATATGGTAGTAGATTTTTTGCAGTGATTTTGAGTAATTAAGAGCTTCATAACAGAAGCATAGATGGAAAAATCCTTTGGTAGGTAATGGCTTCATAGATTTTTAGAATTTAGATATTCAGTTCAAGTAAACAAATTATAAAAGGAGAATGAATATTCTGGAAAAAGAAAAAGGTAGGCAGATATAGGTATAGATATAGAAATATGCAGACAGGAAAATGATAGGAAATATTAAATATAAGTATTTGATTCTCTGTTGTTGATGAGAATTGTATAGTTTGAAGATTGTTTGGAATGAAATATATGAGAAAAAATACAATTACAGACTGCAAAAGGTTATTTGCAGGAAAAGAAAACAAAAATTAATTCAATTAGAAAATAGAAACTAACATCATTACATATTGAATTGCAAATATATCTTGGCATTAACTGTGTTATATTATTCAAGTGCTTTCTTTAATTATTCAACTTTCCTGGCTTATTTGATAAGAAAAGATGCTGGAGAGGCATGTATACATACCCTATTCACTTTTATTTTGTGTTATTTTTGTCTACATATATATTGCCTTCAGAAGTATTTAATCACCAAAAAGTGACTGAAGTTTTTGACAAGGGAACTTTTTATTATTATTTCTACTATAATTTTTGATAAGTTTTGCTGATGGTGGTAATAGATGAGAACAATAATGATAATGAAAGTAGTTTACACAATTTCCTCCCCCAAAAAGTCAAATAATGCAGAAGTGATCAGGTTGCTTTAATAATAAATTCCACAGTGACAGTGCTTTTTGAAGCTATCTGTGTGTAAACAAAATTGATGAAACAAACCACAGTGGACAGTGCATTTACCCATTGTCATTGGATTAATTTGTGGGTTGTATTCATTAATTTGGAATTCAAAAATTATAGTTTTAGATAAGAAAATCATTAAGACTTTTTCTCTTAGTTATAGTTATATTTGTTTCATTACCAAATAGATCTGTAATTTTCTTTTGTAGTGCCTAAAAGGAACCAATACTAACAGTGGATAATAAGCATGGTTTGACAAAAAAAAGAAGAATTGATAGAATTGATGAAATTATTGCTTTCTGGAGATGCCAGTAAATGTGCAGCATTGTTGCTCAAACTATTAGGCTCTGAGCTCTTTTATTATCTACATATGAAAGAAAGTTTGTCATCCATAAAAAAAAAAATAATAATAATAAAATAAAAAATATAAAAAATAAAAAATAGTTTGTCATCCATGAGCAGAAACATTGCATAGATTAAGTTGACATCTGTTTTTGTGTATTGCAACCCTGAGCTCAATACTTGTGGGCAGATGTAAATGTTGCTGAATGTGAATAGTTTAAACAATGATGGTAGCCTGAGCAAATGGGTGTTTGATTACATAGGGGAGCTAGAAAAAGAAACATCATTGCCCAGTTTTGATGGTAAGATCTTAAATTTGATTTCATGTTTTCATTTTTGAGCATACTTGTTATTGTTATTTCATTGTTATTCTGATCAAAATAGGTCATTACATTTTGAAAAAATGAAGTCTTTGAGACCTCATGTAGGGGCCCTCTTATTAAAAAAGTATTATCGACTTTTTGATATTTGATTTCTTTAACAAAGGATTTGCTTACTACACTTTTTTGTGTGCAGAATTTGCCCTGACCATTTTCAGGCCAATTGGACCATTAGAACTCACTGACAAAAAATGCCTCCAGAAAAAAACTTTTTATTACTATTTTATATGTGTGGTCTAACAACACTGTTAGAGCTGGAGATTGCAACTACAGGGTGAAGAGTGAAAGTGGATATTTTGATGATTGTACTGCCAGAATGTTTATTTCTATTCTCATTTCTTATTGCCATGCACTCATAGTTGGTCAGTTTTCTTTGCATATACAAATGCCATGCAAAAAATGAAAAAGAAGTGAGGAAAAGTTGGTCAATTGTCTCTACATAGAGGAATAGTAAGTGTTCTGCCTGATGTTTTTCCTCATTTTTGCAAAGCATTTTTATATTTAGAGAAAACTGACCAACTTTTCCATATTTGATTTTCATTTTTTGCAAGGCATTCTTATATGCAGAGAAAACTTTGAGTGCATGGCAGTAAGAAATGAGAAAAGAAATATACATTCTGGTAGTACAGTCATCAATTTGATGTGGAAAAAAATCAGGCAGAACACATTCCCTCTATCATACTTTATCTACATCCAATTTAACATTACACAGACGGTATCAGAATTTTCTGTGTGGCACTCATTCCAGTGACTACTGGCAACCATCTAGCTGTATTGGCTGGGCATTTGCTGTATACAGCTGGCCCTTCCAGCTCGCTTGCTAGAGTGAGTCATGACACGTATACACATGCCCTTCTTAAAGGGTAGGTATTCCATGATGGCTGTAGCTGTGCCTGTCAGCAAGGCATTAAAGGGTCTGGCTCAAGCAGTGTTGTCAGAGTGTGCATATAAAGTATGGTTTTGAGATAACTGCATTTAGTTTTTTAATATTAATTGAGACACTGCTAATTTTATTGAACCTGCAGCCCACTGCGTGCATCTGTCTGCTTTTAATTCAGTTATATATTATTAAAATTTGAAATTGTCAGCTTTGTATATTATTAGAGATTCATTGTAGTTGATTGCAGCAATATTTTGTACCGTTTTCATCCTATTTTGCTGAAAATAATCATTCTTATTCAGCCCTGAAACTGAACTGAACAAAAGCATTATGGTATTATTTCTGTTACATACTGCAGGTATTTACAAGGTAAATCAGTTGGAAAAATCCTTTTTTTCTCTCAGTGATTTTACTGATGTTGTATTATGTTAATACACATGTTTGATAAAACAAAAATGCCTACATATAAGTTGAATCTAACCTATTTTGTCACATTTCCACTTTATTTATATCTCCCAAGAT